AGATTATTTATTTTCAAGATTATCAAGGACAGATTATTTATTTTGTTCTATGTCTTACAGTACCTTGATCAATTGATTCTAAAGACTAATCATTTATATACCATATTCGGATACAGGATTTGGGGAGGGGACAGGTATAACTTTGTTTAGGCAAGAGGTCTGGGGCCGCCGTAAGGGCCCCAGTGGGTCCTGGGCGAAGCCCTGGTGGAGGCCAAGGGAGTACACCCCCCACCCCCACCCCCGAAGCTCATGGGGTTTCGTGTATTTTAAGAGTAAAACCAGGCATTTTGTAGTGGTATTGGTTATTATGAACCAAAGTATGACATAATTAATTCTGGTCATACCGTACTTTGAATGAAGTAAGTTCAGGGAGCAAAATCAACTATAAAGCTCTTGGGTTTTTCAATATGCATAAGAGTAAAACTTTTGTAGGAATTGGTTATATATGTACCAAAGTATGACGTTATTAAGTCATATCATACATGTACTTTGAATGAAAAGGGCCCAGGGGGCGAAGCCCCCTGAAGCTCTTGGGTTTTTGTGTATTTTAAGAGTAAAACTAGGCACTAAAATATTGGTATTGTCCCAAAGTATGGCATTATTATTATTCGTATCATACTTTGAAATTTTAAGGGAGGGCCTGGGGTCGTACACATGTACGCCCCATAAATCCACCAGTGTATATTTTGTATTAATTAATCTGGAAAGTATAATTATTCGACAAGAAAATTTATCTTTTGTGGTGTATAAGAATTGGTTTGTATTTAAAGTTATTCATCACACCTACTAAGTGCACATTGTCATGTTGATAAACTGACTTAAGTATCCAGTCTGGTAATCTGATTTTAAATACTAATTGGCTCTAAAATGGCGAGCGAAGCGAGGCAAAAAAATTTTGAATTGAAGACTTTTGAGATTAAATTACATGTAAATAAAAAAGGTATTTTTACAATATTTAAATATCAGAAGTCAAGGTCAGATTATTTATTTTCTCTGTAGTGGAGGACAGATTATTTATTTTCAACATTTTCAGAGACAGATTATTTATTTCCAAAATCTGCCAGGCCCCCACCTCAGAATCAAATGGTCGTCCCCTAATGAGTACGTCGCAGTTATCTAACTTACTACAGCTCTTTTGCGGCGGAGTCTAAATTTCTGGGGGCAAATGACATTGTTTACAGTAGTGACAATCGAATGATTCGTACAATTTCATGCCGAAATCACGATGTTTTGCCAGATATTGAACTTCAAATAGTAGATCGTCATATAAGGAAAGTTAAGAATATTTTATCTGCTTAAAAATGTGACGATTTTCAATGAAAATTTAACGAGAAGAGTCTGCTTAATTAAAAATATCGTTAAAAATGTGACAATTTAAAATTGGCTCCTCTCAAAAATATATTAGGCTGGTTCAGCGATTGTTTAGCGAGGTATTCCACCAGGATTTTTTTACTTATTTGTCCTTATAAATGCTACAAGGATCGATCTTGCATTGTATTGAATAGCACATTGCCCCCACCCAACAGACGATTCCTACCTCCTTCGCGAAAGAGTTCCGCTAAGTTAAGTAATCGCGATATCAAGTATTAGGGCCATTGGGCAGGGAAGGATCCTTCTCAGACAGCATCTGCTGCGACACGGGACCTCAGTCTATACGGTCAAGTCCCAAAGTGGGATTGGAACCCGCGCGGTAAGGATCAGCTCTAACCATTGCGCTACGCGGCCGCCAGGTCTTAAAATTAAATTATACATGTAGGTAACAAAAAAAACATTTGAAACTTCTCAAGCCATGATTTGTGAGGTAAATAAGGTAACATAGTCAGCGTACATACAAATTTGTTCAAATCATTCCTCCTCCAAGTACATGTAGAGATATGCTGATATCATTCATAAGGTACTGAACGAACAAAAGATAAGGGATGTGGCCAATTGACTTCTGTTCGCAAGTAGGAAAATTTGCGAGACTGCCAAATGGTCCATGTTTGGATAATTATGGTATATGAGTATCTTGGCATATTGCGATATGCTCTAGGTTGTGGATCACAACTCACATCCACTTCACCAACTAATGACAAGTCATTTGCTGTTTTTGGACTGCCTTTATACATTTCGGCTTGAATGAAAGTTTGAAGGTTCTGAGTGCTCGTTTCCTCTGTTGCATATACTGTGTCTCACCTTTTACAGAACATCTGTAAACTGAATAACACAACATATACATGCTTACATGTAGCAGTTGGGTCCTTGTCCACAGCACACACGAACTGACTTTCCACGATACACCAATCCATTTAATATTGGATCCATTTGATACAACACATTCTTCTTCATCTGTGCCTTGCATTCTGCCTTCTCATTATAAAAGTTATCTTCAGCACAGTCTTGCATATGAGGATTGTCCAAAATGTTCGTGGACAAACACTTTATTTTTTTAATAGTCTACAATGGCAAACGTGTTTGGTAATATCTTGATGCAGACGATGATTTAGTAAATATACAAAAAGTTAAAACAATTTAAACTTTATTATGAATATTATAGGTAATTACTTTGTTGATGCAAGTCGCATGGGCCAGTCTGACCAAACGCTAATTTGATAATAACATAACGTCGAAATTATTTTTTTTGAATTTTTATCATGGACACCGTTAAATTTTAAGTTCTACTGGTCAGAGACCAGAAGATCTTATGTGATAGTAATGCGTCCGGCGTCCGTCCGTCTGTCTGTCTGTAAATTTTCTAAATGCTACTCCTCCTACAGTTGTGGTCTGATTTCAATATAACTTTGCAAACGAGTAGAATACGCTAAGGTTTAAAATTCTATATATCGGTTTTTGATTTCGATGAACGGTGTTGCCGTGGTTACTAACAATAGAAATTTCTGTGGAAATTCTTTCATATTGCGACTCTAAATACAGTTTTAGTCTGAATATAATATAATGTGGCATGCAGGTAGACTACACCAAGAACATAAAGAGACTTAATCAAGGATCATTAATCTTTATATTGCTGTTGTAAAGTTTCAATTCCCAACTGCTTTAATTATCTCTTCCTTTGCTATAAGTACTAATCAGTAGAGCTTCAGTCTCGACAGAGACTTCTGGTTTCATTAGGCAACACTAGACTTAATGTGTGCAAAACGATTAGGTGATAAGGTGAAGTTTTAATGTGCCGAATTCCATTTCTTCAGTGAAATGCTCAAATTCCCGACTTGTACATGCTTGTACATGCTGGTCCGTTATGGAGAACTATCACTTCCGGTAATCCATGAGTAGAAAATATGCCCAGCAATTTTGTCTATTGATGTCCGGGTAGTGATGTTTTTATTACGATGACCTCGAGCCACTTTCAGTAAGCATCCATTATGATGAGAAACATTATCCATAACTGGTCCAGCAAAATCTATATGTAACCTTGACAAAGGCTTACTTGGATATTCCCAAGGGTGTTATGGTGCTAGAGCTGGGGTTATCATGTTGACTTGACAGTCCTCACACAGACTTCTAAGTTTTTTAAATTTCATATTTAAAAAAATGTTAAAATGCCGTGTCTAGAAAATTTAATACATGTACAGGTACTATCGAACTTTCTCTGAAAGTACGAATTTCATGAATGGGTGCACATTTTTTTCTTATTAGGGAACTCTCCAAAGAGAGACAATATTTCAACAACTTCCATATTGTCCATATTAGTGATGGAATTACCTGCAACTGTGTAGGAATTGAGTGAGACCTATTCATTACAGGTCCTAAATTAGCGTCAATACCATCAATCAATTTCAGTAGAAAATCTGTAACTTGAAATGAGGTTGACATCGTCCAACACGTCAACAGGTTGACTTCTTTCGCGTTCTCTCCGAAGTGCTCGTCGAAGAAATGACCGCCATTTTTGTAAAGCTGCTTGCGTTTCTACGGTTGCTATAGGGCACCCGTAGAATTTCACTTAAATCTACGCTTAAACGAAAGATAAGATCTTAAGTAAAACGCTTAGACTTACGACCTTTAGTAAAACTGGCTACTGAATTTGAACATAGAAAGCTCATAATGTTCACAAGATAAAAACACAGTTCTTTGCCTGATTCCTTGGAAAGACTTTGCCGCTGTTTTCACATGTAATATTGTATTTTTCAGTGTCCACTATTGACTTTCTAAATCCAGATCTGTTCTTTCGAATAGTATAAAAAGTAAGATAACAAAATTACCTCATCTTCACGTATAGAATCTACTGAATAAATCCACAATAAAATAAATGAAAATCACTGCAATAATGCGGAAAATCCCACCGCTGCCACCAGTTGTAGCGCTGACGAGTGGTAAACGGTTATACTTATTCCATGATTCAGTAAATTTGAAACATGAAAATATTTTTTCTGCCTTAAAATCTCATCGGTGTTTGAAATAAAACAATCTGGTTAAGTTTTATGTACGATGTATTTACAGGGACAGGTGCCCGTAAAACACATCACAGTAATATTAAAACGATAATCCACTATCTTCTGAACGGTATATATGCATGTAAATCCCAAACTAAACAGTGACTAAGTGACCCAAATTTTCCCCCCATGTATATACCCGCCGGCCGATGCTCATAAGGAGCATCGCCTTCAAAAAAAGATTTGTGTAATAAACGATAAATTAATCAAAAATGTTGAATGTCATCTGCTTCCGTTAACTGAAAATATTCCCAGGGTATTGTTACATGATCAGTTTTAGGTAAATAAAATTCTGATACATTCATATTTTGCTGCATAATTCTGGATGTATTCTGTAAACGAACAATTTATTCTTGTCACGTTTTATTCCCTAATCATCAATATAAAATTAATCTCTAATTAATCTAAACTAATTTTCACGACTGACGAAATATTTATCTTTAAATACTATGCAAAATGGTCGATGAGAAGATCTTGAATTTCTTTAAAATTGAAATCTAAAAAATGGATATAAATAATGAATTCACACCAAATTATGTATAAGTGCAAAAGCTTACATAAAAACATCTTGTATCATGGCTGCGGTGTTTTTCCTTTGAAGTCAAGTGTACAATAACTGGAGATACACCGATGGGCGTAGCCAGAAAAATCTGTGCTGTGTAAATGGGCGGAGCCAGCAAAAACTGTGCTGTGTAAATAAATTATTGAACACCAAGTCAATTTCAACAATTTTAATTTTTTTCAAATTTGAATTTACAGACTCAATAAAATGCGTTTTTTAAAATATTAAGACAATACTTTTGTCACTGAAATAAAAGTTTGTTTTTTTTTCAAATTGCAACACACTTTTGTCACTGAAATAAAAGTTGTTTTTTTTTTTTTCAAATCGCAACACACAGTCATATATCCCACAATATACAGTACACTAATACGAAATGAAAGTGCAGTTGTTAAATGTACTGTTACCACCGGTCTGACCCAAAACTTCCACTTTATCAGGAATGTTAATTTCATTGGATGTTGATATATCCATGAGAGGTCCAAGGGCATCCTTGGGTTCCATCTTTGGTAATTTAGGTTCTGGAGGATTCAAAACTTTGGACACCGTGCACGCTATCTCTGCATTTCCACGTTTATAGGCCCGTACTCCCACTTCCGACCGATGCCCAGTTCGACCCATAATCTCCTGTTCGTCGACTCCGTTTTGATAGAGTGCCGTTGCGCATGTTCTCTTCCCTGAATGGTTTGTATAGTTTCCCTTAAGACCGGCCTTTTCACAGATGACCTTCATCATTGATTTTAATTTATTAACACCCACTAATTGCGAGCCATAACGAGGGGGCGAGCCTGCCAGTGGTCGGCGGTAAAACGATCCTTCATTTCCCAGAGCATCTAGGTGTACTTTAAAATAATCAGCCATGCAGCGCTCCCCTGAAAAAAGTTGAAATATAAATTAAATTTTTACTTAAACCACAATTTTTAGTTCTAAGTGTGGAGAAAACAAAAAGAAATTAAAGGCGCAATCTTTGAATACAATACATAAGCGTACGAACAGGGGGAGGGGACTTTAGCCCCCCCTTTTTTTTTGAAAAAATAGACATAATGCAGTCATTGAAAATCGGGATTTACCTTTTTTGTAGGTTTAGCCCCCCCCCCCCCCCACATTTTCAATTTGCTTCCGACGCCCATGCAATATAAACAGTGGACTCAAAATTTACAATATTTTCAAAATAGACATGTCTCTGGTTAAATAGGCCTAAATATATATATATATACTGAAAAAAATTAAGAGGGGGAAGAGGACTTACCGGGCTGACAGTAGTGCCGTATTTGCTTGTTGTGTAGTTCTTTGTGAGCTAGTCCACCTTTGAAGGTCTTTGTTGATCTGCCTGTGAATTCAATGAATTCCCCCCTATTATCCGCACCGAGAAAAAACTGGTCACACTGGAGGGAATGATGTTCGTCATGGCCCCGTAATCCGAAAAACTTGCAACTATAAAAAAAACTGTTCTGTAGGGTTTCCGCATTGTTAATCCCGAAAATTCCTTTTTCCCAGATATTAGCGTCATCTTCGGGAAGAATTGGGTCTGCTTGTTTCCGTTTTCCCCAACTCCTCTGCTTAATGCGTCCTTCATTTTACTGTCCAATATTTTACGGAATCCCGCAAATCTTGGATCCGCCGCATCGAGAAAGTTCTTGTCATAAATTTCATGATCCCGTAGATACCTTAAAATCCCACAGCTAATGTAGTACAATGTTTTAGCGGGGTATTCGTTGCCATCTTTTCTACGTACTCTCATAATGAATCTCCCTAAATAAAAGTTCAGCTGCACTGCGTCCATCGTTTCGATTTCTGGTATTAAGAGTTCTTGCCCTTGACATTGCGCATTTCGTTCACGCCGCCAGCTTTCAAAAATGTTATATGACCAACGTGTATTTTTTTTTCGTGTTGCGGTTTTCTTGACTCTCTATCAACGCTTGAATTTCCTCTTCTTCAACTTCAAAACCAAATCGCGGTTCTTCGAAATTCTGTACTTGTTCAGTTTTTATTTTCACATCCATGTCACACGTGTCAAGATTCTCACGATTAACTCGGCCATTCTCTGTCTCGATCTCAAGGCCCAAGTCAAAGTCCATAAGATTCCCTAGGTCTGGGTCAAAATCCATGTCGTAATCCTCTAGTTTAATTTCTCCAAAACAATAGTTCATTTCGATTTCTTCACAGGCCTGAGATAAAATTAAGTCCTCATCGTCCTGATCATTAGATAAGAAATCAAGAAACGACATCCTCTACTCTTGGAACTCGGTGGAAAAATGCGCATTAGAAAAAATACTGGCGGGAAGGAAAGAGCATGCACATAGTCACCTGAAAAAAACTAGATTTTTTATTGGTCTAATTAAAAATCACGCATTGATCACCGATTATTGATGTTTTGATTGGCCATGATACAAGAAAGTTATTGAATATTTATTATGGTGTATCCTGATTGATTTGGACGAAGGGCGGAGACTCGTGCTTCGCACTCGTCACCGCCCTTCGTCCAAATAAATCAGGATACACCATAATAAATATACAATAACTATTACTTAAATGGTTTCTGTAAAACTAAGCACAATGCAAATTTAAGAAAATGCATGTTACTTATTTTATTTCACTTGTGTTACTTATTGATACAAGTTATTTCACCATCAGGGAGATGATACTGTTCTTGATTTATATACACTTAACTAAAGTAACAGTGGATTTTATCAACGGCTAAATTTCATTATAAAATAAATTGCAGGTGAGTGCGTGAGTAACTGACACAAAATTTCTTTCCAATCTTCATCTTGTATGGGGTTCAAGTAAAATGAAAGCATCTCCTCAGAGCCCAATTCCAAGCATCAAATTGCATAAATGCATAATTAAAGTATTGAATCCTCAGGTTCATATCGTGCAAAATGGACAGAGCAGTGGTTTGGCCAGCATAAAAGTATTCCTTTTCCTCCAATTTATAGATACATGTATCATGGAAATAGAAACTGGACCCTTGCAGGACCTTAAAGCATTGAGTCCATTCAAAGTTCTTGATTATGATTGTTTATTATTTTTTAACGCCGTGTCGGCAATATTTCAGACATATTTCGGCGATTAAATAAAGTTAGTATGCTATTTTTTTTTGTTTTTCTAGCGGCCCCAATGAGCCCACTCTTTTGTGATAAAAATGCATCATTTAAGAATTTTCAGTATGGAAATGTTCATGAACGTAAGCTCTCTAAGAACATAAATCTTATATGAGCTTCCTTTTGAGCTTAGTCTCACATTTCCTTCTGTAGACCGAGATAAAATTTGAGCTTGTGTAAGTTTTTCATCCCAAGAGCCTGGTGAAGCAGATGAACCTAGAAGGTATTAAAGAAGCTATCCTATTATAAACTTGTACATTTCTTAAAAAAAAAACATTTATTTTTCAAAACACAACAGAAAAAATAATTGAGCGTTCCAAAAATTCATTTACAATACTACTAAAATATTTTACAAATTTGCCTTGATGTTACAAGATCATATTTCATTGAACACTTGTAATTTATCTTACAAAGTCTTGGTTTTGATTCAGAGTTTATCCTCTCTAATGAAAAGGGCTTCTTTAGGTCCAGCATAACAGAATTTTCTCACCTGCATGTATTGTAAACCATCTTTTATTCGCGTGCGAGATATCTTCGCGAAGATCGCGATAGACTTGTCATCGCGAATATTTCTCGCCGCGAACCGGTCCTGAAGGTCTCTCTGTCCATTAACAACAGATCCAAAAAGGCAAAATTAATCGTCACAAACTATTTCACCCTGGTATATTGAAAGTCGTCGCGATTAAAAGTTTGTTTACAGTATTTACACATAGATTTTACTGGGCATACCTTTGTGTCCTTTGAGTACAATACAATACTAGAACATGTGAAAATGATCTGTTTTAGAAGTCTTGAAAATGTCTTAACACAATCTTTGTGAATTTGGACATCTTCACAGCTTAAATGACAACATGGATCAAATTTCTGTTGAATTGTCAGTTCAACACAACGGAAAAATCCGAAAAAAGCTGTAACATACATAGCCTCTAACATAACATTTGTATAAAAGAAGATGGGTGAATAAGGCGGGCAGAGTGCCTATAGTGCGACAGATAAGAAGTGAAAATTTTAATCCCAATTGAATCCAAATTTTACTTGATGTTTCATCTAATATTAAAGTATACTTTATGTAAAATCTCTACAATTTACAAAAATCTCACATAGACTGAAAATATTTGCCTATGAAAAAGCTTACACACATTAAAAAGAACAAAAACGATCATTTTCTCATACTTAAACAAAATTTTTCAATATGGGTGGGTCTTCTCTCCATTTTTTTGAAAGATGATCCTAAAAGTGTGCAATAAAATACACATTTTTTGGTTTTCAAAAACATGGAAAGAAGACCCACTATACCTTAAAAGTACACTTTTATGACACAACATTAGCATCTTTCCGAGAAATACTTCAGTCCATTAAGTCGCGGGTCATATCACAAACATGATTTAAATGCCTTAAATCACCATGAGTGGTGTAGCATAGTGGTTAACGCGTTAGTCTCAAAGCGGTATACTATTGATACGTCAGATTTTTATTGCTAGGGTTCGAATCCCTCGAATACCATCTAATAATTTTATGAAAGAAAATTTTTCACGAGATTTTTTTCTCTCTCAGAAAAGTTTTTTTTTCTCATAATTTCAAAAATTTAAATAATTATAAGTTAATTTAAATAATCAATTCACATATTTAATATGATTTCTTAATATCTGACGCTATAGGCATTCTGCCCGTCTTGTTCGCCCATCTTCTTTGAACATGCAGTTCCTTTAAGCTGTACAAATTCTATGTACTATGCGAGCTGTGATAGGCAATCTAACCTTATTTTTAAATTGATCTTTACTTTGCACTTTTCCGATTGCATTTAAGATTAATTTCAATCGTTCCATTGAGTGATATTTAGATTGAAAAGGGTTTGGAATTCCCATTTCTAAAAACATGTATCTGATTCCGCACAAATATAATCGAACTGTAGAATATTTAAGCAACAAGTTATGTTGACAATATGCTACAAAATGTACAAGAATATCTTCCGATATGTTTGGACATTTAACATCATAAACAACACCATGTATTGAAAGGAAATGTTTGTACGTCTCAAAACCTTGTCTGTATGTTGATCTTGTACTTTCTTCACAGAATTGTTCATCATTTTTCAACCACTTGTCCGAGTTCCAGATTACTTCTGATACCGGTGAGCAGACCATCGGAGTTTCCTCTGCTTGGGGAGCAGCTTGCCTGAATTTTTCCAGCTTTAAGCGAGACAAACAGTCAGCTATAATGTTTTTAATTCCTAATACGTGTTCACCATAAATGTCAAAGTTATAGAGAGCAGCACAAAAGCATCGAGTTCTTATAAAAGATGATATTTGTAAATCTGAGGATCGACGTTTTTGGATAATATCTACACAATGGAAAAGAATTCTTTTTCCTTTCCAGTCCTTCTCCCAGAGAATAGCTCCAAATTTTAATGAACATTCAAATTTAAAGGTTTAGTTTTAATTTGTTTAGGAAATACAACGAATCTCCAATTTCATCTCGAAAAACATCACCGGTGTCGTATAGTGAGACTTCCCCCATAGCGAGGCTTCCCCCGGAAGGCTCACTATATAGTGAGTCTTCCCCCCGGAAGGCTGGCTATATAGTGAGACTTCCCCCACGGAAGTTTCACTATATAGCCGTTCTTCCGGGGGGAAGGCTCACTTTATAGCCAGCCTTCCCCCATTCATAGCGAGACTGCCCCCTCGTATTATTGTTTCCGGAACATTGTTTCATTATTTTAAAAAATTCTAACAGTGTTAATTTATGACGAAATTATCTTCCATATATATACATGTATTTATATATTTATTTTATATGCACGAACAGTTTGAATATCGTTTTAACTGTTTGATATCCATTATAACATATGCATGTATATTGAGATGATATAATATATATAATATGTATACACTTTCCTTTACATGTATTGATAACGAATAATTTTATTAGTTCACGAGTCACTTATATGAAATGTTCTGATTGTTTTCAGCGTTTGAATAAAAAAATTGATAGCATAGTTTTGTTTGTTTGTTTTTATACGCCCGTCTTAAGACGGGACGTATTATGTTATAGGCTTCGTGTCCGTCCGTCTGTCCGTCTGTCCATTCCTGTCCGGCTCATAACTTGAATACTATTAGGCCTAGGATTATCAAACTTTGTCAACTCATACTTCTTGGGTAGACGGTGTGTCGCGCACAAAAAGTAGGTCGCTCTGACCTTTAATAAAGATGCTATAGCCAAATATGGAAAAATCCTGTCCGACTCATAACTAGAAAACTATTAGACCTAGAGCTTTCAAACTTGGCAAAAGTATACATCTAAAGTAGAAGGTGTGTCGCGGCCTATTTCAAGGTCACTGTGACCTTTGATTATAGTGATTTTTTTTTTAAAAAACTAAGTCTTTTAAATTCTAAATTTCATAATCCTAAAAAATGTAAAAATATAGTTGTATGCTTATTAAAAAACGTTAAATTAAGTAAAAACTTGTTTTTTTCATTATATACTTTACAGCAATCTAACAAATGTTTATGCTTTGAGAGGAATTCAGTTTGTCCCATGGGCTTAATTATCAAGCACTGGTCAAGAAGAATTTTGATAACAGAAATTTGCATGTCAAATTAGAGAGAAATTAATGAGTTTATTGTCAGGAGCTAAGAGCACCTCTAGATTTGATGCAGATGTTATCTTAATTTATCTCTTGGGAGTTGGGCAAAAAGAAATGGCCTCATAGTTGCTTGTGTTAATTAAGAGTTCTTGATGGCTAGTCCAGATAAAGATCTTTCAATAGGTGTAATGAAATTAAAACAAATTGATGTTTTAGTGTATGATTAAAACTAAATTAGTATTGTATAATATGATTAAAACTTATTATATATGTGTTCATTTAAAAAAAAAATTATATTTCAATTTTTATATATTTGCAACAAAGATGCTATAGCAAAATTTTGAAAAATCCTGTCCGGCTCATAACTAGAAAACTATTAGACCTAGAGCTTTCAAACTTAGCAAAAGTATTCATCTAAAGTAGAAGGTGTGTCGCGGCCTATTTCAAGGTCACTGTGACCTTTAATTAAAATGATTTTTTTTTTAAAAACTATGTCTTTTAAATTCTAAATTTCATAATCCTAAAAAATGTAAAAATATAG